CCTGCCTTTTCACACCACCTTCTGTACGTAAGAGAACGTAAAGCCATGCTTTCAAAAACAGAACACTTTTTTTAATCTTGATTTATCTTGTTGGGATAAGCTTATATTTGAAAAACTATTGCATAAATACTTCGGTTTAAGTTTTATTTAGCACTATTTTAATTGAAACTTTTACCCTCATTTTACACGTTTCCAAGATATGCCACAATGCTGGCATAACAATTATCGTATCTCAAGAATGTTAGCCTCTTTTTCAAAAATAAAATATTGAATTTTGAGAACATCTTCATATAAAATTTCCCACTCAGTTCTCTGAAAAAGACCATTATAAATAACATCCAAATATATGCAATTTCCAATGTATAGGGTCCTGATTGTGTAATATTTACTAAAATGTCTCTCAGAACCTATTAGAGATGGCCCAGCAAATTCTCGCTCTGTCTGGAATATTACGACGGAATCTTAAAAAGATTTTAAATAACCTTTATAGTTAATCTTAAAATGAAGAGAAAATAAAACTTGTGGGTGCAATAGAACTCCTCCACTTGCGAGAATTTAAAATAACAAAACTGAAGTTTCAAATTGCGAATTATCTTAGTGGAAGACTACACAAAATTAGTCTCCCTAAGCTGGCTTAAAACTTTAATGCCGCGTAAGTCCTTTTGAATTCCAAAGTTGCGAACTGTCGGCGGCTAGTGATCCTTCATTTTTGGGATCAAAACTACGGCACTCGTTTGCATGTTAAGGTGGATTACATCAGTATCTCCCAGTTTGTCAGAATCGTTTTTATCTGTATGTTTATATTCTTAAAAACTATTACTTCTTGAAGATGAATAAAAATAAAGATTGCCTCTTCGTCTAGAACTTATTTACCTCATAAATGAAATAGCTTTTCATCCCCCCAATCACCGCTTCTCGCGGGTAGAAGAGGAACCATCTCCGTAACTCGATAAGGAAACTATCTCCACTAAATCCAATAATATAAACTGGAGCCAATAACCGTAATCCAATAATATAAACTGGAGCACTTTTCTTACCCCAAATTGATATTGTTACGAATTTTGTACTTAGATAGGTAATTTTAGCAGAATTATAATTAAAACTGTATTTACTCGTGCCACGCAGAGCGAGACAAACCTTAAGAGAAAGTTATGCCGGAAAAGTAAAAACACAGGAGCACGTGCCATTTCATTGAATAAATGTAATTGACCACTGTGTTAGCTGTAAGCGTAATTCCATCTTCTTATTGCTTTCCAGAAATCTCGAGAAGCAGAAAGTACTAGAAATTTCTCGCGACCAGTTCAAAATTACAAAAGGCCAGAGAAAGAACATCTAAGCTCACTTGTTGTTTAGTTAGCTTCTGTTATTGTTGCGAATTCAGCATGAAATCGGATTAATTACCTATAGCCATTGTGATAGTACGATGGATAGAATGGAATCATTAAAGAAAAAAAGACTAAAAATAAAAGCAGACAATAATTACTCAATAATAGGTTGTATTACGCCATGAAATATGATTATTTTGTTTCAAAAGGTATTATACAGTATTATACTGTAGAATAAAACTTTACACATTTTCCACTAAAAATTACCTTGCAAACTCAATTACGTACAACATTCCATAACGTTAAAATACATAAAGTATTCAACATTTGCAACATATTTTAAAGGCGAATTGCTTCTCTATTTAATAATTCAGGAAAACAAATAACTGTCTTGTTACATAACAGTATGTATTACATTTTCCAAGTATACCTTTTGGTTACTACAATAGGTAAAAAAGACAAATTCAGAAAGATTCGATATACTGTCTGTCTACGAGAAGAACAGCTCCCGCCAAAGTATCTGGCGGATAGTGGTTGCTATAGCAACAGGGCTAGTATATTTTTTATAGAGACGAACCAAGGGTTGCCAAATCATCTTTAATTGCACAAGATGACAAACTGAAAAGTAAATCTTCAAGACACCCCTACAGAAAACGGGTCAAGGGTTCGTTTCTACGGCAACAGACAGCTGCGGACTAACTGGCGAGAGCTTTTCTTATGATAGACAGACTGTATCCCATTTTATTTGAAATTACGTTTAAAATAAAAGCACAGTAGAAAAATAAAATGTGTTTTATATCTATCATTGTATAAGCACGAGACATTTTCTTAATATATTTTTACGGCATACAAAAGTAAGCAAGTTAACAATTATATCGCTGATTTTCAAATCTAATCTTGATTTTTACCCAACTAAAGCAATGCATTCTGTTAAAAATGAACTTTCATTATCAGTTGTTTACACCTTGTTTCGTTTTGTATCTTTCGTTTCTTTTAGAGAGTTTCGTTTTGTATCTTTCTCTTCGCGGAGGATGCACTTTACCGGATTGTTGGATATGTCAGACATTTTAGGGGCGAACAACACGTAGCTTTGATTTCTCTAAACCTTTCGGCTGCATTTGATTCTGTTGATTGGTGTTCCTTGTTGCATGGTTTAATTAATTTAAAAATACCTAGAAACTGGCTTTATTTATTTAAAAGTTATTTTAGTAATAGGAAAATTGTTTTAAATTGTTTTCAGGATAAGAGTAAAGACTTAGTAATGAATATTTATAAAGGATGCCCTCAGGGCTCCTGCAGTGCTCCCCTGCTCTGGAACATTATTGTGGACAACTTGCTGAAGCAGAAGTTTCCTCAAAATGTGGAATTAACAGCATATGCTGATGATATTATGATTCTTATGAAACACGATTCTCTTGAAACAATGGAAAAATTATTTGATGAAACTGCTCTAATACTAAGTGATTGGCAAAAGAAAGAAAAATTGCAATTTAATATTAAAAAAAAAACATGTGCATTGTTTTTTGCCAGAGGAGGTAAAAAGACTAGACCACCAAATTTGAAATATCAAGGCAAAAGAATCAAATTTGTTGATAATATGAAATATCTTGGCGTTATGATTGATAACAAATTAAATTTTATAGAACATTTTAATTTGGTACAAAGACGAAATGATCTGATTTTATTAAATTATAGAAGAACCTTTTCAGCTGAGATTTTAGACTTGAAATCCTCCATTCTGAAGAAGATTTACTTAAATGTAGTGCTTCCAATCATCATGTATGGAATTGGAGCCTGGGGATCAAGGGCAGGGGAACTGGTTAGATTACGGATGAAGTTAGACAGTATTCAGAGAGCTTGGGGCTTAGCTTTAACCCGATGTTTTAGAACGGTGCCTACCGAGGCCGTCTTTGTGTTGGCTGGACTGCCTCCTCACTCAATTTTATACGAATTTTATTATGAAAAATTTTTATTTAGAACTGGACGAATGCAATTGAAAATGTATGAAGATTATTTAATTACAGAGAATGTTTGTGAAAAATTTAATATTCATTAAATACATCCCTCCAATAGATTATTTGGTTTTGTTTTTGATAAATGTAATCCAACTGTTGATGTGTTTGATATTTATACAGATGGTTCTGGGGTCGGAGGGAGTGTAGGAGCTGCCTTCGTTGTTTTTTACTATGGAACCGAGGTGAATATAGAATAGTCAGAATAGTTGAGGTGAGTTATAGAATGTTTAAGTTGAACATATATAATTCAGTTTTCCAGGCAGAAAGTGAAGCGTTCAAACGAGCCTTATTATGAATTAAAAATACCTTGTTTATACCCACATCTGTAAATATTTACACTGATTGCTTGTCACTTCTCCATGCGCTCTCCCGCCCAGACAATTTCAATCCATTAATTGTCGAAATTAAGAGTCATTTAGAAACTTTGAGTTCATATTTAAATATTACGCTACATTGGGTTAAAGCCCATATAGACTTTATTGGTAATGAGAGGGCTGACAGCCTGGCCAAGCAGGCGGCCTCAAATGTCAGTGCAATGGATATTGAAGTAACAGGTTCGAAGAGAATTGCTATTCGAAGAATGAAAATTTTACTTTAACAAATGGAAAATACAGTGGTTCTCTTCACCTAAAAACAAAGGATTTATAGAACTAATTAAAATCACAAATAAAATGAAATGTATGAACAATATTGATGTTAATCAGGTTTCAACTGGACATGGTAGGTTTCCGTTCTATTTCAACCGATTTAGTCTGCAGGAAAATAAATTATGTAATAGTTGTCAGGTTGATGGTGATGCTAGGCATTTCGTGGTTGATTGTACGACAACCCTTATTACATAGATTTTTAACATTACTGATTTTAATGTAAGTGTCATGAATTTTAAAGTTATTAAATCATATTCTATTGCTCTAATGAAGTTTATGAATGAAAATAGGGCACTAGTAGGAATCTTCTGTTAAAATTGAATTTTGTATTTATATGGGTTTTAGATATCTGTGGTGTTGTTCTATGTTGTGAATTTGTGTTTATGGTTTTTTTTTTTTTTTTTTTTTTTTTTTTTTTTGTTTTGTTTGTTTGTTTGCTTGTTAGTCTGTAATTTTGTGTTAGATGTGCTTATTTATTTTTGATTTAGTATTTTTGTTGGTTGTTTGGGGGTGGCTGGGTTACTGGCTGTCCTCGTTTGTGGAGATATGAGGCCCCTTCTTTTGAGCTATGGGGACACTCGTGTCCAGGTGGGCTGAAAGGAACCTCCAATTCTTACACCCTTTTATATAATGCACTAGACACCATCATTATTTTTGGTCACCTTTTGTAACTTTCAATGAAATTCATGCAGAAATGATACAAAGACAATTGAATTTTATCTTAAATGAGCTTTCCATGACTCTGATTCCATTGAATGTTTGGGTATGTTTAATAATTATTGATTATTATTAAGTATCCACACAGGCCCAAAATTTAATTTGACGGTAGAATACTGCTACGGTAAATACGAGTTCTTTTCCCTCCTTTTAACAATACATTTTGATGTTTTCGGTGTATCGAAGACTAAATATAAATCAATTCCACAAAGTATTTCCCTCAGTCGATGTAGAAACGGGTCTAGCAACCGCGGCAGTTAACGTAGGAGGAATTTAATGGAACGAAATAGTCTCACCACGGCAACAGCAGGAGAGGCGAGGAGCTCATTCGGAGCAACAGCCGCGAAGTATGCGACATTCGTTAGGACATAGACACACGTGACAAGTGGCAGTCCAATCCAAATCGCTCTGGGCAGGTTTCTAAGGAAAAGAAAAGATATATAAGACATTTATTAAAGTAGTCCGTCTCGCTTTCTCTAAAACAAAAGTTAATAAAAATATTCGTAAAAAGAAAATCTGAAAGCTTTCAGATTACATTACGTCCAAATGGGAGTTGTGTTACCTTTATTAAATATCATGTTCTTCGCGGTTAAACCATAAGCAACATTGCAAAATATTTAAAAGAGCATATTTTAGAATTTTTGATACACAGTCTCGCGCGCTGGAGATAAAAATGCTTTTTTTTTTTTAAATTTTCCGTAGAGTGTTTCCATTGGTCGCTTAGAAATATTTGTGTTTCTTAATCAAAAACTCGTAAATGCTTTACAAAATATGAAATAGATAATAAATTCGGGCTTCCAGATGCCCATATTCGATTGGAGACGTACGTTATTCAAAACCGGATGGCTCCAGGTACCGTAGTTTTATCACAATGCGAGAAATATACATAATACATTTATGCAGATTCTTTATTATTTAATTTCTTTAAATATAATACAGGGCTCTAATATTGGGTGGCAACGATTTAAAAGGTGATTCGCCGCTTATAGTGAAGCAAAGCAAAATGCCAAAACGAAATTAGCAGCCCTTCTGGGCAAGCTGTCCCTTTGGGCTCATAATAGATGCCATAAAGGAGATCAAAATGTTTCCTATCATCTTAACGCACCATTAGACCATCATGAAAATAGTTAAGATGAGCCCACTCAATGGTATTGGAAAAAGATCCTGCAAAATTCACAAATTGTCAAAAAGTACGGTCTTGGTGACATCTTGGTAGCCTATCTCTCTAACTTGTTAGCCAGTGCAGCCGGCATTGCTGTGTCCTTCCTAACGATAGCCGAAATAAGCGTTGTTGCAACTTTATTATTATTTTAAATCTCAGGATGTCAGACCTCACTCTATTCTTCTACGTAAACTAAATTAGATCCTACAATGAATCTGGCGAATTCTCGCACAGGCGTGAATAAATTACCAGCACAGAAGAAAGGATGAAAAATAATCCTTTAATTAATTCAAACTAATTTAACAGAAAGGCACGGACTTCGTGCGTTACAAAAACACCGTCCACTTGCGGTGAGAATTAAAACGTAGAATAAATATAATACAAGTCAAACCTGAAATCAATAGCGCAAGAGCTCACTTAAGCTTACGCCTAAGAGGTGGACACTACAGAAATCTAAGCCGCGTGATACTAATCTGATAAGGCCAAGAGGCTTACGAGCGTGACCGCGAAATAACAACGAAACGTTCAACGAAACTAGAACTGGCTAGCGAAATACGCTCTGAATAAACTAAAATATTCACACGTTTAAATAGCACTTCACTTAACTTTAAATTGACATCCTGGCGAAAGAATGTGAGGGGAAGTTGAGAAGTTTAAAACAGGAAATCAAACTTCAAATAAATTTGTTATGCAAAATAAGGAAAGCCCTACAAGGATAGAAATACAAAAGAAGGTGGCTCTTTATATTGGCTCAGGATGAAGGTACCGCAGATTCAAGAGATCCTGGATAACTTCTTCATGAGATAGGTGGGAATTACATTTTCAGAGTGTGAGGAAGCCCCACATAGTCGTCCACAGATTCTTGCTCACTCTGTATTGTAGGTAGGATGAATCATTCATATTTAAACCTCCTTAAGACGATCAATCCAGGCTTCCAGACAATTTTAGCCTTCTGTGGTCATCTCAGAGAATAAGACAATCTGTACACCCATTTACTGAAATTTGTTCTCCGAAACACTAGTGACTTTCAGGTTTCCCTACATTTACTAAGGTTGTAGAGACATTAGATACTTTTTTTTTTTTTTTTTTTTTGAAAGCAGACAAGATGAAAAATAGCAAACGCCTTCGCCGGGAATCGAACCACGGACCTCTGGAATACCAGCCCAGCGTGCAGAACCACTATACCACGAAGGCACACGCTAGGAAAGTGGGAAATAAATTATATAC